CCTATTTTAAAAACAAAGTTGACTTTCAAAAAAATTTACTACATAATTATTATATATAACAATTTTTTTCATACAAAACTTTTATTTATAAGTTTTTCGAAATGTGCAAGTAGATATTTCACCCTGTATAATACATACGAAATATCGAAGCTTTAGTCTTTTTTTAAGTTCAATTTACTTTGAATTGACCCATTTTGATGTTGAAAAAAAGAATGAGAATTTTTTATCGAATTTTTTAAATTAAATTTTTTTTGGAAACAAGACTGTTTATGTTAAATAACATTACTTTAAATACGAAGCGTTATTACGGTCTGAGTGTTAAGATGTTGAACTAATATATATATTCATATAAATGAATTAATTTCAGAAATGATAATTGTCGTGCCGATATCGGACTTTCAACGTAATCAATCTAAAATATTAAATAAGTTTATTATAGTTTTTTAAGATTAATTTGGGAAATTTGGGGGGATTATTAATATTACAATCTTCAGTCGATTTGTTCGCCAAACAAATCGCAATGATATGGAAGATTTACTAGCGAACAATATTTTTACGAATCTACTACGAATCGTGAATTGCAAATAACGAATATTACACTTATATATCTTGTCTTTCTATTATAATCATTTTAATACAATAAAACTTATCGTCAGTTCGCTCTTTCCGTTTCTTAAAGTTGTGATTATCATAATATAGAATAAAAAACCTAATGATCTTCAACAGATATCGAATACAAAGATCTTTTTCAGAGTTTAATGTCCCATAAAATAAAAATGAGAAATGTCTCGATCTATTTAAATAAAGATGACGGATTATCAAAAGTATCGTAATAAAGAAGTTTACTGAAATTAGAACCTCCCTACGAGGGGAGGGGAGGGGGACTTCCCCTACTCGGCATGTAGTGTACCCCTACTTTAAAACAAAATAAATACGAGCGATTCAGAGCAGTAAGTGTAGATAGAATATAAGACAGGGAGGAAAAAAAGAGTTCAAAGAAACAGTAATAAAAAAGAGAACAACAACAACCCTGAGAGCAAGCCGTAGTTCGCGAAAACTGCGAATGAGGCAGGTAGTAACAACGGCTAGAATCAAAGTATAGTTTTCCTATATACTACCTATTACATTAATTAGATGCGTCTCTGTATTTAAAAATACTAATAATATTGCGTTGAATATAAATATATTATCTGTTATAATTAGTAATCAATTATTTGAATAGCCCCGCTCTAAAACCTCCACGTCCTGCCTTCGTTTTGTTTTAAAATTGCGTTTCCGTTCGTACATAGCTTCTCCCAACTATACCACCGTCATAATCTAAAATATATGTATGTACATACAGTTGTGGCAAAGACAGCCATTAACTCTTTGTAACCCTTTCTTTTTTCCCCTCCCCCGTTTCCGCGCTAATATTTAAATTTACTTTTATCCATCTGAGACTCGTTAATATAATAAATTAATTAGCTCGTTTATACCAATCGTCAACAACGCATCGATTATATTTACGTGTCCTGTACAAATGAAATGTAATAACCGCTTTTCCTTAACACCTCGCATACACTTAAGATTTTTAAATTCACGCTTTAACTTTAGTTAAAAATCGATAAGAGTAAGGAATACAATATTAGTAATAATTATAATTGATATACTAATGGGTCTTATTCCGCATCGTTATTTATCGGTATTTATTCTATAAAATAAGTTGTAAAAAACAGCCGTAGATAAAACACGTCGCTATTATTTGCCGCTCCCTCCTTTGCAAGTTAGGTATTAAATAACGTGTTATTTATTTAGAACAACCATAGTAGCTTTTTTCATCACTTTTTCATCTATATATTTTTCTCTTATGAATTTATCGCTTGAATGTTTAATAATATGTTAACTATTTAATTCTTTAGTTGCAAACCGTATATACATATTTCCAGGATCAAAAACTAACATTGAAAATAGAATTTACTTTTATTACAAAGTTCTTAACCTAAATTGAATAAAATAAGCAAAAAAGTTTGAATAAAACATCAAACATCAAAGCTTTTTCTTCTTTTCTTACTAAAATTTATGATATCGTTATACTGTATATTAGAATTTTATTTTGGATATACAACTTAAAATATAGTAAATTTATATAATTTATATAAATTTATATTATAATTATAATACATTTTAATTTTGTTTTTATTCAGAATTTTAAAACAGCCGCAGCTAAAGGGTTAATTAGTTCATTTCTTTTATGTGCATTTTTAGAGGTAAAAGTGTGAGGTATGTGTGTGTGAATATGTATTCATGAGTGTATATGTTTATCTGTATGTGTTTTTTTTTCTTTGTGTTACTATAATAATTAGGGTGTAAAATTGGTTGTTTGATTGAGCTCTCTAGTCGCATTTTTGTTTCGTTACGTGTTCAAGTGTGTTATTGCGTTGATCCCAGAAATTCACACGAGTCGCGTTTGTTAACACTGCACTCGTTTCTTTTCATCTAATTATCGTGGACAAACTAATTTTTTCTTTGCGATATATTTCGTCGCAGAGACAAATAAAAAGTTACCATATCAGATTTATAACAAAATGCAAAGTTTTAAATTCAAATTCGACACATCGATCGATATATTAATAAATATCATAAAAAAAGAAAAGATTGGCTTATTCTACAGCTTTAATGCAACACGATTCAACACTTTATTGTCAGGATACGTAACAAGCATTAATGACATGAACGGCGAAACGAATAACGGAAAGATACGAAGAAAAATAAAGCAGTCGATCATCTTGCACTTAAGATACAATGAAACCTTACACTGTCATTCGATGAACAAGGAAAATAAAATAAATGGACAATAGTAAATTACGTTATATGAGATCACATTTATAACGCTTAACGAAATTGCTGGATTCTGTAACCGTAATCTATTAATTACACTTTTATGTGTGATATAAGGTCTATCTTGGTGAATTATACATTAGCATAATAGTCGCCATTCTCATCGATAAAGTAAGACACAACGCGACCCGCTCGGTAATTAAACATGAGCATTTGGAGAGCACTCTTCCGAAATATTCCTCGTTTAGATCTATGGTAAATCCTACAGAGTAAATACAATTAAGTCATATATTTAATCAGGTAAACTTTTCAGGTCGATATCCCCCACCGAGACATATCCACACGATTACAATATACCCCTCCCTCCACCTTATCTATCAATGATCTCGTTCTACTGATCTAAAATTTAAACACTTATAAGCTTCATCGCATATTTCATAATTATCGTCGACAGTAATAATAGTGTAATAGTAATAGTGTAGTTGTAGTACTTGCAGTAGCAATAGCAAGAGTAAACACTCATAAGTATTAATAGTAATAATAGATGTATATAATAGTAATAATAATATAGAATTAATTATAATAGTAACAATAATAATCGTAGCCTTAAATGTGCCTAATAGTTATTATAAATCGGAGGTAAAAAATAAATCAGTTTCCACGTGCATTTTACGGTATGGTCGAACAGAAGCCAGTCCGACGGCCACACACTAAGTTCTTATAATACAATTTGTAAAAATATTTGTGATTGTTTGTCGGTTTTTATCTTCTTATCCCTTCCCTTCCGCGCTTTGTATCATTTCCAAATCGTTGGAAGAATAGGAAAGTCGCTAAACTAATTTAAGGAATCAGTATTCATAAACAAGAAAGAGTAGAAGAGAAAAAAGGAACTGAGGGAAATACGTATTTAAGATACTAGTGATATGACATGAAAGTAAAAAAGGATGTTTGCAGAAACCGCATCCTGCTGTCAAAGATTTATATAGATATACATACACCATATTTAAATGATCTATATTGTACACTATTCTCTGTAGTCAGCCTGTGTGTCGTCTTACTTAATTATCTCATCAATTACTCATTATATCATTTTTCATTTTTCTTCAATTATCCGGTATAACAACTATTTAATAAATACAAGATCGTGGAGGGACGAGTGTCTCGAATGTGTAAGTCATTCGCGCTGACTTTCCATCAGAGACCATAGTTTAAATATTTCTTTCGTTTGTGTTCTTATCATTTGTGTTACATACACCGTTTGCTAACGGTTAGGAAGTGAACAAGCATCGAATTTTGTTCCCCTAAGAAGAATTTTCTTCTCGAACGAAAACTTATTCACCTCCGTAATAAATGCCATTAACGATTAAATGATTAGCATTCCTGATTCTTTACGCTCGCTTTTACTTTGTTTACACATTTTAGAATCTCCTCCTTAGAATTTTTTTTAGCTCATTATGTATTTTTACAATTTGTTAACACGCTTCCTTTCGTCTATCCCAGTGCCATACAAACTTCACTTGCCTCATGGGTGTGTATTCTAACACTGTCAATTTGTGTATTTTATTTAACACTTAATTATTTAATTTATATTTTTTATCTGAAAAGATTATATGCCGTTCTCGCGAGCGATCAATAAAAAAATCAATATCTGATAAAAGTCTAAACATCTTTTTTGATGTTTCCGTTTGCCAAACTTTTTTGTTTGAAACACAAGATGTGTTTCAATAGTAAAAAAAAAAAAAGATATCTATATGCTAATCGACCGCTCGCGAACAACATGCCGGCGTAAACAAGAGACATTCCGTTTTCTGTCGTTTGCCTGCAAATCTTAGCGACTTTTTTAGCGAGCATTTTACTGTATAACTAATATTGTATCTCTAATTTGTGGCTTCTACAAAAATACATTACATAGTGCCAAATTCCTTAAACGACAAGTATCTTTTCCTAAATAGCATTTTTAATGCATACAGAAACGTGAATCGACAAAGAATGTCTCATGTCATAACGCAGATTTTACGATCAATATATAGTTTAGTCTGAATTTGAAGAAATAACCCACGAGCAAGGCCAAGCCATTCAGCGCATCTCTCCAACTCGAGTCAATTAAAATGGTCATGAGGTGGGCCACTCTTTAAAATCGAAGCCTTGCTGGCCGGGTTTAGGAGCGCTTGCTGCGTACCCACCTTGACTATTTTCTCCTCCTTGATACGAACGCTGAGGATAAGAAGTATCAGCGTAATTACTGTATGCAGAATATCCAGTATAATCTGGAGTCTTGGCTGAACTGCTGCTAGATCCTGGTGCACCTGAACCAGTATTTTGCCGCGAATACATGTCACCTGCAACATTTGTACATAATATTAAGTCATTTCATTCTAACGGATTATAAATAAACGTAAAAAAAAGTAAAATTAAACATAATATGCTTAAAAAATTATTAAAACTAATAATTTGCGACATACATTTAGACAATACTCTACTTTATACTATCTAAATATTATATTTCAAAGAACTAAATCATAAAAGTGATATATACATAAATTATTATTTCTATATATAAAATAATATAATAATAATAATTAAGAATATATAACAAAGTTCTTTCTTTTCTTATATTTTTCAATATTGAAAAAATGAGAAAAGATATTAAGACATAAATGATAAAATATTTTCGCTATATAACAAAAATAGATTTTTGATACTTTTTAAATAATATAATAAAAACTATTATTTTATCGCTTGTATAATAGATTGTAAAAAAGAATATTATAGCAGTAATAGCTTTCTATTTAAGAAAGTTTTAACCATTCTCCTCTACTATCAAATTTTTTTTAATATTGTATTTAATCGCACTTATAATATATTATTATACATATATGTATATACATATATATAAACCATATTATAAGTACAATATAAATATAATATTATATATTGTATATTTTTTAAATAAAACAAAAAATTAATGAGACACTATTATATTGTTCAATCATTTTCATAAATACTGCAAACAAATTCTATTCTAACATTTGCGTATAAAAAAAATTTGCACCTATAGTATTTAAAGAATTATAAAATTAATTTACATTTAAATCTCTATCACAAAATCAAGATAATGAGATCAGTATTCCTGTATTGATGTACAATGCGATTAATTTATCTTTCAATAAAGATCTTTATATAAAAAATAGATCTACACAATAATAAATTATAACTATATCAAAAATATTTCAAACAACTTATAAAATATATATTTCTTATTATAAAAGCACAACTCTAAAGATAAGTAAATCATATACTCGAGGTAACTGCTATATAATCATGCATTTAATATCAAATAACTATTACAATCATCTACAATAATAATAAATGTATGAACAAGCTTTTTTAACATCTTAAATATATCTCACATTTCATTGCATCTTTGCTCAGAATTATCATTTACAGACTGAAAAAATTACTTTAAACAAATATTATAAAAATATTCATATATACAAATATCTCATGTTTATAAATAATGAATTGACATCAATTATAGATTCATTATAGTTACAGATAAATATGAAATGTGTACATTAACAATAAAAAGCACTAAATAGACATACATTTATTACACACAAGCAAAGATATAAAAAATGCTATACTGATCTCAGGATCTTAAAGACGAATTGATGTCAGTATAACTTCTATTTTCTTTCTAAATTTGTATAACTTACAAACGCAAAAAAAAGCTGATTATTATTGTATATTTTTTACAACGGATCACATTTTTCATTGTCAATAGAGACATCAATTCGTCATTAATTAAATAGGCGATAAAAGGAAACAGAAGGAGAGAGTACAGCATATTATCCTGCATCACAAATTGTCATAAAACATTAATTTTTTTAATTAACTTTCAATGTTTGTAAAGTGATTATTCTTATTATTTCTAAGTTACAAAAAAATGATAACATGCTCTCAAAACTTGGGATAAAAATATCTTTCGAGAATCTATTCTAAATCTGTTATGTATAATAGTATGCAATATATGTATATATAACTTTCAATCATAAATGGTTAAACAACCCGATAAATGGGTACTGGCAGGGTACATGCTTTTCGAGAATTTAAGTATAAAAGGAATTCAGAAAAAAACAGACTAACAAAATACAATAAAAAATTTGCAAAGGAAAGGAATATCTAGGATACACGAGGATTTTTAAATAAAAAGAATTATAATTTGACGTTACGGTTCAGAAATTATCGTTTCTAATGCTCGAGACGTGATCTAGAACATCGTGTAGTGAATAAAATATGAAATAATAAAATAGATGATGGGACCAGAATAGCTAGGCAAGTGGCAGTGCGTCAAGCGTACAGCAAGCATTACTTTCAATCCAAAGAATGAGCAATATGCAACGAGTATATAGCTATTCAATTATTTTCATTCAATTCAACTTCAAGCAAAAACTAGTATTTATATAATGCTGTTTTCTGTACTTGCACACACACACACACACGCGCGCGCACACGCGCGCATGTATGCACACACATGTATATAAATATACATATATACGTATGCAGGAAAAATATAAATGTATATAACATAAATACATACACGCACACATATACATACATACATACATATATACATACATACATACACACACACACACACACACACACACACACATATATTTTTTATAAATTTTTCTATCTTTGATAAAATTACTTAAATAAAAAAGTTGAAATTTTTTAGATCTATACACTCGTTGTGAATATAATACAATACAAGTCTTTTTAAGTTTAATAATGTTAACACAATACCAATTTTATTTTACTTCCTTCAATCTTCATCGTAATAGTTATCACAAGGTATGTCAAACGTATCAAATTTGTAACGTATATTAATTATTATTAGAAACTCAAACAATGTGTTAAACAATTTTTTATTAAGATTTATATTTTACATATGTATTTATAATCTGTACAAAAATAATTAGTATATATTTCATTCAATTATATATGTATATATTTTAAATTTTATCACCTTTTATTTTCTTTTTAAAAGCAGAATTATTGTTAAAATAAAAAACTTGAACAAGACTCTTAATGTTTAAAATCCAACGAAATATAATTTGTTTTTGACTCTTATTAGCCCTTTATATTTCGTTGGATTATTGTTAAAATCTTACAACTATAAAAATGTTAATATAAATATAATGTTATAAAAATTCATCAAGCAGAATATTAGAAATTGTCTCATTATTAAATTGTTAATCAAATTGTTAACATTCATGTACTATCAGATGAAAATATCGCAGTTAACAAAATTGGTTATAAGAATTGGAGGAAGTGCATACATCAAATACAAAAAGAGAAACATTCTATGTGTTGAAAGTATCAACTCTTTGAGTACAATAAAACTATATATATTCAACAAAACATCGGTGGTCTACGGATTTATATATAAGTTCGACGAAAATCATTGGCGTGGCCTATGCACTCAAATATGTGTTCGGTGAAAGTCATCTGCGTGGCTATGGACTCATATTCGGCGATGTCTCCTTTATATTTTCATTGTAAACAAAATACATATTCCGATCACAGTCGCGAACAGCAAGTGCATCCATAAAGAACGTTCAGCTTGTAAGTGCTCCGTACTCAAAGAGTTAATTCTCCCGACTGGACATATAAAATTAAGCTAGTATAAGAAATTACATTGCTGTAGCTAGGCGCAGAATTAGGTCAAAATGGAACTAATTGCGATGCCAAAGGGTGGAAAGAGGAAAGTTTGTTTGACTTGAGCTTGAAGACTCACCCTGCGGGCCAGAGGGGTTCGAGTTGGAGTTGGGCTGCGAGGAGTTAGGCTGAGGGGGCTGGGGTGGGGGCTGGGTCCCAGGAGGAGGCCCATTCTGTGGCATGTTCCAGGAGCTCCAAGAGCCCCCAGGCCCGCCTCCCGCAGCCCCGCCAGTACCCGCCGTGGGCCCGTAGCCCCCTGAAGCGGCCGCCGCCGGCCCACCTGCGATCATCAACCACACAAAACACGTGTCACCGACCGCATGTCATAGCTCACATCATCTTTCTTATCACTTTGTTTAATTTATATTAATATTGTTTTTCTCCAATTTGTTACAAATATAAAGCTGTCTCTATTTCTTTAATGTTAAGAACGCCTCTTCGGCGATATGAACATTCATGCTTGGTTCTCTTAATAAATAGCATGGAAGAAGAAAAGGAAGAATTAAAAGCAAAGATAGGCGATAACAATAATTATATAGGATAATTTAGGCAAATATACTTCAGTGGAGAATACATCAGACTTCTTATATTTTGTAAACTGGAGAAATAAACAAATATCTATCTAAGCATACGCATCTCAACACGTCTAAAAAGTTAAGAGGAACAATGTTGCAACCACTTCGCAAACATATATTGATAAATTTCATTTAACTTTCTATTTTGAAGTGCTGAAGTAAAAATTGACAACAAATAAAATAAAGTATTTTATATATGCGTGAATTTTATCAAATTCAAAGTGCATCATTGAAATTATTGGATGAGGCATTTTCCCTTTCAATTTATAAATACGTCCCAGTAACTTGATTTAAATAAGCCTCTTTATTATTATTATTATATTAGTTTTAATAAATATCAATTTCTTCTTCTTCTTCTGAAGATAATTTAGTGTTTAACAAAGAAAGTATTTATTAGATAGCATATGTTGATTTGTACATATATATTTTATACGTTTTCTAAATATATCTAGTATTTTATAAACTGTTAAACTTTTATAACTTTTAAATATATAAAATCAACACAATTAAAATTTACATAAAATGCATTTTCCTCTTTATAACAAATGGAAAAAAACAAAAAAAAATTCTATAAAAAACAATAAAATATTTTTTCAAAAAAATATTGTAAGACGAAATATTAAAACTTTATTTTTTTAATAGTAATTATAATAAATACTTTTTCAAAAGATTAAAAATAAGTTAGTTTTTAATCTTTAATTTAATTAAAAATTAAAAATTTTAATTTTGTTACAAATAAAATAAAGTTTAATTTCTATGTAGGTGATATTTTATTATATGATTTAATCAATTTTTTATCCTTTTTCTAATTTTTTACAAAAGAGCATATTTCCTTAACAGACAAATTGGACATCTTTTCTGAGATGCTTAACAAAAACACTCTTTTAAATAATATAAATATTATAAAATAAAATTTGTTTTACTAATATTTTTATGTTTTAATTTTAATCTTCCTTATTATTACATAGATAAAGTCTATATATGTATAATAAAAAAAATAATTCTTCTACATATTTCGATATACTAATGTTCTAATGATTGTACAGCATATTTGCCTGAACTATCCTATGGAAAGTTGCTCTTATAGAAAATATTATTAAACATGTGTATACAACATCGTATAGATTACAACATAGTATAGGTAGCTTCTCTATAATACTTTTATAATACACGAATGTGACATTTGTTATCATGAAATGTAAGCATGTAACATGTTATCATACTCAATGTTAGTATTCGCTATCTCTATGCATATTAGAGATAGCATCGTATTTTTAATATAGCAATTGGTGCTTTAAGATAATTTAGTGTTAGAAATAAGTGGAGAGTAAGAATATTATTTTAGTATAAAAACAGAATCTGTGTAAAAATTTAGATTTAAGACTTCTGTCTATTCATTTCTTACTTCTGCGGTTATTTTAAATTGTGATGTCAAAAAAAAAACGAGAAAATAAATTTTAAAAAATTCTTGCAAAATACATTAAAGATCGATAGGAAACACAGTAGAAATATTGAGAAAATCATAAAGTTATTTATCATCAAAAGAATTGTCACAATAACCTACTATAAAGCAATTTTTTGAAAAAAAAAATACAAAATTAAATTTTATTCCGCACATAATATAATGAGATGCGGATAATTTATTTATTATGTTTTAAAGAACAAATTGTAAAATGTGGCTCGTAACTTTCGTATGTTCGTAAGAAATAAGCTCAAAAAAAGTCTTATGGTAAAATATTTTTTCTAACATGACAAAATGTGAAGAAGAGTACAGATATGAATCTGTATCACGAATAAAGTGCAAATGTGTGTGAGTTAATTCATCATGCCTTTTGAGCCTTAAAATATAAATAATTTGTAAAACTAACATTTATTTGAGACAATAGATTTGTAAAATATATCAAAATTATCTTTTGAGTTTCAATAATAAATAATTGAATTGTGTCTATATATATATATATATGTATATGTATAAACCGAAAAAAGAAACAAACTATATGATAGCTTTATCGAATTGAAATAAATATTTTATTTTATTCTAAAATAAAAGAATTTTTATCATATATTTCACAAGTATGTTTTATCAAATGGAAATATTGTTTTATTGAAAAATAATCATTTCAATATATTTTGTAAGAATTTTTGATATGTACTTTCTTGCTTCTACCATTACACAATCAAATATATATATTTGTATCTAATACAAAAATAATGCGATCTACTGAATATAAAAATAATAAGGAATTAAAATAATTATAAAACGGTTAAATTTGTTACTATAAAAATATAATGATGTTACCGTCACAAACAGAAAAAAATAACGATCGTTATAGAAAAAAAAGTAACAATAACATAAATGACGTTATAAGTAACGCGTTACTTCTCACTTTGCAAATCTATATATTTGAAATTTTGTAAAAACAAGATAGAAAATTTTAGTGCAGTCCAGTATAGCGACAACAAGTGTTTCATCAATTTCATTTTAAATACATGTATATGAATAGTTCCATTATTTAACTATAGAATACAAACAGTCCTATTCTTTCTAATTGAATTGCTTTCTACCTCGTTTCTGCCAAACTTCAAATATATACATATATACATATATATATATATATATATATATATACAGGATGTCTGGAAATAATCGCCAAATATTTCATGGACAGGTAAAGAGGACTAATCTGAGTCGAAAAGTCCTCTATCATTTTGCAATTTTCGCAATAGTTAACAAGATATTAATTGCCAAATATTGGTCTTGAATAATTTTTTACTCAATACTATCAACTTTATAGAAAAGCTAAAAATTATTGATTTTCTTCTATAAAGTGCTAAGAATTTTTTAACAATTTTTTATTCACTTTTTCGCAC